CAGCTCTTCTGCAATAAAAGACTTTGGCAAGTTTTCATCAAATCAACTTCACAACTCTACTGAAACTCTGCCTGTAAGGCTGATTTGTATTGGACTGGCTTGGTTCTCTTTTTGTGTTTGGCTTTTCTGAATTGTGACCTTCCCCACACCATGGAAGCTGCATTTCCAAGGAGTGGCAAGAACACGGAAACCCAAGGCATAGGCTGGCCCAAGGGTCCCAGCTGAAGCAGTAACAGAACTAGGAGTCTTGAAAACTCTCATAGCCACTGAATAGTTCTGAAATAAGGTTTCTTCGAAGTGTATTAGTCTGTAGACCTGCAGGAACGCAGGAGCAAAGCTACGTGTACAGCTTTGTACAGCAAGAGTTTTGTTGTTACTGTGAAATTGTATTTCTCAACGTGGATGTACTTTATCAGATTTCAGGGAAATTTCCCCCCTTCCAACACCCCCCCCCGCCCCCCCCCAAAAAAACAAAAAAAAACCACACAAGCATTTTGACCCAATCCAAAATTAAGCGAGTTTTCTTTTCTTTTTTCTTTTTTGTGAACTAGGATTTTTCAGTGAAGTGAAAGTCTTGAATGTTACAGATTTACAGCAATAACTAAGTGGGGCAAAAAGATTATTACTTGCACTTAAATTTTTGAAGTAGAATTTGCAATGCTAGCGTGCATCTCATTCAGATCTGTGAACAACTGAAATATGTGGAACTCTTTTGTTTTTTATGTTCTATTACTGTAACTTCTGAGAAGAATATGCAGTAAATTAAGGCTATCCATTTCACAGTATCTGCTGCTGTGAGATTTCTTGGTGTTCCCTCTCTGCTTTGTCCTTTCTGTTACTGTGCTTGTTCTGGGAAGTAGCGGTGTGCTCTGTACAAGCTCAGCATCAGTCCAAAGACATTAGCGCTGACGATGCTGTATCTGCAAGCCTTCCCCAAAATGAATGCAATTGTCATGACATTCTGGGAGAGAACAAACAATTTCTGCTTAGTCAGATCCTAGGCTCTTATTTAGGGCTCCTTGAGGAAAGCAAAGGTACCTGCAATGGGCAGTGAACCAGCAGCTGTGCTGAACAATGTGCTGAGCAATGTCCAGCTCTTTCTGCTGGTACATTAGGTCTAAATTTCCATCTCCTAGTACTGTTCACACCTCCACAGCACAGATACAAACAAGCTTTGCCATTTTTTTCCCATGGATAGCTTTCAGAGTTGGCCCAGAATTATACCTCCTAGAACATGCGATGGGGAGCCTCATAATAAAGCTAGGTAGCATTTGACTGTGATTTGCCAGTAGAATAACTGCTCTGTCCTGCTCTGCAGGTGCAGTAGGAATTTTTGTCTGCTGACTGCTGATGGAATTATTTTCTAGATGCAACTGTGTAATGCTTGTTTTCCGTGCTGATTTTCTTGGGCTCAAGCCTTTAGCTAGAAGTCAGACAACAAATGTATGACAGGAAGGAAGGACCTGTTAGGGCAGTGATGTAATTGCACACAGAAGAGGTAGGTTCAAATTCTGGCTCAGCTGCAGGTTTCCGATGTGACCTTGCAAAAACATCCCAGTGCATCAGTTGCCATAGCAAAACAAAGATATGATTTCCTTTCTTCCACTGGCTGTCTTACATACAAACTTTTGAGGACAAGCTTTATTACTTACAGTGTTACAGAACTGGGACAATTAGCTGCCTCTGTGTTACCACCAATACTTAAAAGTGAAACAGGCAGTCTTGTTCTGCAGCAATGGCAGCCCTGCAGTGCTGTCCAGGGAATACTGATCAGAAGCACATGTGGTGTTTGAAAAGCATTTTATCACTCATTACTAATTCCCTAGTTCATCCAGCCTTCCAGTTATCCTCATGTAAAGAAAGAGGCGGTGCCAAAAGCCGAGGAGCAAAGCTGTAGCTTCTTCCCTTCACTTCTTGAGTGGGGCACAAAGAGAAATAGCAGCTGCTCTGCGCGTTGTGGCACTTTATACCTAAGTTCCCCTTGTGAGTTTTGCCCCTCCAGAGTGGAAATGGAGGAAGCTGGGCCAGTGTGCAGCGTGCTGACCTGCCTCTCTCTGGAGGATCAGCCACATGCTGATCAGCCACAGCATCAGCCGCGTGCAGGGGGTAATCTGCAAGACTGGGTGAGGAATAGGATCAGCTCCCTGTGATATTGCCTCAGTGCTGCTTTGAGCTTCAGCTCTGCATGCCATTCCCCATGAGGTAGGTGTCAGAGTCTGTAATGTTTTCAGCTGCTGCAGGAAGGCATCCTTAAAAATATCATCATGTGTTTATCTGGAAAGAGCTTTAAAAACAGCACATTATGAGCAAGTCTTCTCAGTCATTGGACTCAGATGGTGGAAAATGGACAATGACCCACTAGTCCAGATAAGCAGCTCTAGACCGGTATGGAATGGAAATATCTTGCACTCCAAGGAAACTATGTAGGAATAATTTGGCTTGAGAAAGATGTTTGTGGCATGTGCCCTGGGAGCTGTGCAAAGGCACCGCTGTTGTGCTGCTTACTTCTGTGAAAGGCTGCCAGGGTCTCTGAAACTTCTGTGGTGTGTACTGCAAACCTTGGAGAGATTGCCTGTGGCTAGAGAGCAGAAAGGGAGTAGTTACGTTGGTGTGGTGATGCCTTAGCAAATACATTGCACTGTAAACAAGCCCTAGGTTAGCTGGGCTGGTATCAGACTGCTGTCTCCTAATGGCATGGTAGGATGCTAGCAGAACAGTAATTCACAGGGAGGAGTGCTGTCTACAAAATTACAATGTCTCCATTTTAAGCTCCTGGTATGTTTCTGGAGGTTTTTGTCAGCCAAATATTGGCACAATATTGTTTACCCTAGCTGAAAAGACCACAGCTCGTAGTGATTGTAGGCCATTACGGCAGTAGCAAAAGGGAATGTTTCAGGCACATTTGGGGACTTAAAGAAATATACTGACTAAGGAGGCAACACTTTGATGAGGTTCCAAGAGGAGCATATAAAAGGCCTTTTTGATTAAAATGCAGTTTTAATCAGTTCTAATCTGTTTTAAACAGTTCTGCAGTAAGATGTGTGTGTTTGGGAGGATGCTTACTGATAAAGATCTCTTTTGCCCCCTCACCTATGAAATTGTCACATCAGTGACATCCACTTACAACTCTTGTCCATTTTCAATCCTTGTCCTCTTTTTTTTTTTCTCCTTGTTTCCTGTCCCTTCCTGCTTCACGCTCTATATTCATCACCGCTTTGTTCATTTTTTATTCTCTCTTCTTAAGTGCAGGGGGATTCTTTCCACTCTGGCCATTTGAATCTAGCTGTAAGTGGGTATGCCCACATAATGGAGGAGCAGTCCGGAGTGTTTGGTGTGCTGTCAGTGTTTGTGTTAATTAGGATTTCTTAAAGGTTGTTGAAGTTCAGTTCGGTGCCTGAACATTGGTGACTTATTTATAGTTTCCAATTGGTAAAGTTCACGGAGCTCTGTAAAGTCATTTTGTTAAAGCATTTTGCTGAACCACACGGGCTCCACGCCAAACAAACTTGCCACGGTCAGATTCTTTAGATCTTAGAGCTGTGGTTGTCAAAAGTGCCAAAAAAACAAGTGCTCAAGGCCAGACTTTTGAAAGTTTGTTTAGTCATCTAACCATCTCTGAAGTGGGAGTTTGTCCTCAGTTCTTGTTGCAGCACAGTTGAGTTTAGATAGTGAGAGGAATTTGATTTTGTCACCCATCCGTGGGAAGACGCTTTTCAGCTCTGACTGTGTTTTGCTACAGGGTAAAATGTATGGCTTTTTCTTATGAAGAAAGTTATCAGTCAACACTAGATCAGTGGTAATTTTATTAGCTTCAGAACCCCATCCAGTCTTATTTGGAAGAATCTGCTTTATTTTCTATCTGCACATCTGTGTAGCAGCTGCAGTTGCACAGTTCCCAGGGGCTCAGTCTAATTTGTAGAATTACAGGGGTTGTGCCTGGCTATAGAAAAGGTCTATTAGTGTTGCTGATGTTGAAAATTTAAGCCTGATGCATTCCACATGTTTGTTTTGTTTGATTAGACTATTTCTGGGCCCGTGGAAAAAATTAATTTTAAACCACTGTAACTATTGTATTGTCTGATTCCTGATGAAGGATTTCAGGGGGTCACTGTTTCATACCATCTCCTCTGAGATTCTAACAACAGTGTCAGGTGAACTGTGAACTCAGCTGAATTGTCTCTTTTTCACCTTCTCAAGCACACACAGAAATCAATTTCTCCATTCCTGGAAAGTAGCCACTCTCACAGAAATAGCAGTTGATAGAAGAGGTGTGTACAAAGCACACAAAGAACAGTTTCATCCAAATCAAACCACTAAGATCATTTTGCACAGCGGAGTGAAGTTGACCTGATTTGAATGTGGTCAGAACACTCAGCACAAGACTTCACTACAATATTTACAGGATTCCAACAACAGCCCGTTCCCCATGGCGAAGAGAGACATGAGGCTGTGTTCTTAGACAACAGCAGATCAGCAGTTCTGCAAGTGAAAAGCACTGGAAAAAATAACACTTCAATTTCTGAACCTTTGGACAATGTATCTGTTGTCTGGAACTGACCAGGGCTTCTTGCCAGACTGAAACCTCATAGAGGAAAGTGCCACCTACTGTGCAACCACATCCTGCCGTACATCTTCTCTGCCTTCTGTCTACACACTGCTCATCAGCTCAAACAAAAGCTGACAGCTTTGACACTTTCTGTGCTTGAAGGAGCACTGAAGATGAATTACCAAGTGGGAACCACGTTGCCCTTCGGCATGAGCTGGGGGTGTCCTCGTGGAAAATGAACTGGAGGTGGATGTGAGAGGGGTTTAAATATTATTTAGCTGATTTTGGATTTGCTACTGGAAAGAAATTGTAGCACTTCTTGTCATGCTGACTGTATGAATTCTAATTTGTCAAACTAAGACAATTATTTCAATTTAGATTTGCTTCTGATTAGTCTGTATTCATCTCAGTTGTTATGAAACATTCACAGTGCCTTCTTTCACTTCTGCTGCAGGGCTGGGTTTGCTGGAAGAAGCCAGATGATGGTTACATGGTAATGCAGTTTGCATCACAGAAGTCCTATCATACTGGAAAATACAGTCATGGAGACATTTGGCAGACCACAGAAATGCGATTGAGGCAGACTTCAGGAGGTACTGTGAGAGCTCACTGGAAAGTAATCCAAAGGAAAGATTTTAACACGTACAAGTATTCTGAGTGGTAATATCTCTGCAGGAAGAATCTCAATATTTTATTTGTTCTTCCTTCCTTTACTTGAATAGCTAAAAGAATATATCCTATTTATCCCAGAATCAGTCTTAAGGCTGCCAAACTGCTGTCTTTGGAGATAGGTTTTTGAACTGAAAATTTGTAAGGAGGCGGCCATCTCAAGAGAATGGTTGTTTTGGTCCTTGTGTTCCACAGTTGAGATGGATTACACAAGATACAAGCGCATCATAGCCACCCTTATCATCTAGATTCTCCTGAAACAATTGAACAAACTCCTGTAATCTCCAGTGCAGCCAAGAATTTGCCCTCACTTGAGGTCTTGAAGCCCTCTTGCTCTTTCTGTCCTTCGCATATGCCCTCACTTTCTCCCTCACCCTAAATTCTCCAGTCTATGCTTATGGGCTTACTACATCCATCCCAAAAATGCAGCCATTCCTGTTCAGCAGCTTGCAGCAGTGTTACATAAACAAATTAAGAGAAACATGGGAATAGAGTATCAAATATCATAGGTGACTTTAGAACTTTTTTTTAAAACATATTTTGACATTTCAAATTGCAACATACTGTCTTTGCATGTACTCTTTCTTCAAACCCATGGTTTTGTTTTGGACAAACAGATAGTGCTGTAAGAATTGTTTGAGTGCTTGCAAATACATGTTGGGAGGTGCAGCTTGAAGCTTATCACAACAGAAGCAAGCACACACAATGGTTTCAAACGTCTTTCACCTATAGTTAAGAGTGATTTTGTCATTGATTTAAGTAACAAAAATATTGAGGCCAGTGAAATGAAGATGACTAATCACATTTACTGTTCTTTGTTTACCTTTCATTCATTATCTCATTATCTATTCTTTAACTATCATCTCACTATTTAATATTCCTTTAGCTAAATATGTGCAAACAAAGTATATTTTTGGATGCTGGATAACTATCTGTTTGCTCTGACAACTTAGATAGTTTGCCTTTCAGAGAGGCTGCCATGATATTGTGCAAAGTCTTCTCATTTGCTGCACCATTCTGGTTACCTCTTCAGCCATGTTCTCTGCTCCAGCTTTCACATCTGAATTTCTGTGTAATGTCCAAATTAAGTCAACTCCGTCACTCTGTGGAGGACTTCAAGCTGAAAGGAAAAGATTAATGGTCATTTAATAACCTGTGGAGAAGACACTACTTTAGTTGTCTTCATTGTTTAACATTAGCTGATATATGTGCAACAGAAAAAAACGAAGTAAGGGGAACAAACTCAACCGAGTCAGGAGATGTTTGGAAATTCAGATGCGTTTTTGGTTTAGTGAAAGCCTGAAAAAGGTAACAGATGTATGGGAAACATGAAAATGTGTGGGCTAAAGCAAAGTGAGACTCCATTACTCAGCTTTACTAAAATACATTGGTAGAACATGAAGCCCTACTTTTGTGGTCTGAAAAACAGATGAACTTTGGATATCTCAGTTCATGTCTGTAAGCATAGGTACTTGAAGGAAGTGAGGCTACGCCAGTATGTCTCAGTTAAAGTCTGTCCCCCTGTACCTGTCTAGGTCAAATCCAAGTTTCTGAAAAGGTGTGCTTTTCAACGAGTAAACCCTTGTTGCCATTCATTAGAATGAATCCAATTGTTAATGCAGTGTAAATTTTTGTCAATTATTGTGTTGCTAGTAAAATTGCTTGGCTTTTACCTTCACCTGTTGTCTTTATCTTTTCTTTTTTCCTTGTCAACAGCCAACTAAAGAAGTGGAAGGCTTCTATTAAGCTGGTACTCCTGCAGAACTCAGCTTCTGAAATGGACTGTTTGAAAGGCTGAAAGTGGATACTCTTTTGTGAGAGTGGCATTGTGCCAGCCCTCCAACTCTGCACGTTCGTGAGATGGTTGGTTATGAAAAGTACCGTCACTCTTAGGCATACAGCATAAATAAAAGGTAAGGAAGGGTTGCTGCTTGGTTTTCTGCCAAGTTTGTTTCCATTAAGAAGTACTAGAATCTGAATTTCTGCATTTTCTGTTGTTGCTATTGTTTTTTTTTAAATTGTTTTATATTTATTTTTTGAGCATGTAACTGTAGGACAATCCATAAAATTTCACTGTGTGAAAAACTGCTCAGGGAATTCTAACACACTCTACCAGATCACTACATCAGCGTGCCAGGGAATGAATGGAGAATGTTTACATTTAAGGTAAACACTGATGACATTAGGAAATATTACTTAAAAAACTAGGCACATTGTTTTAGCTTCGTGTCCTCTTGAGCTGAAAGTAGTTGAAGAAATTAGAAAGTTATTACTGAATGGAGGAATATAGTATTCTGGGGTGGAAACTGACATGCATTTAATTTGTTTTAATACTGGATGAAGAGATTGCTTCTTTTAGTGACTGCTAAGTTCAGATGTGGAGTTCAGTTTTTATATAAGTGGGCTCCAGAAAAATGCTAATAGTTTGAAAGAAACATAGGCAGAAGAAATACATTTTGTTTAGCAGCACAGAAGGGTCACCCTTTTGTGAATGCAAAGATGAGTCTGAATGAAAGGGAAAGGGGTAGATGATTTTAGCAGAAGATCCTCCAGCTCTCCACTGTGTGTGGCCTAAAACAGTCCCTGTCATTGGGAAGCAGGGGGCTCACAAAACCCCTCAGACTTTATCTCCAAGTTGTCCCTGAGAGATTTTGTCTTCACCAGGTATGTAAAGAGCCCTGGGTTCGTTCCTGAAAATAGCAACCTCTCGATCAGTGCACATGATGTGTTTGCAAATTGCTATGAAACCATCAAACATTTGCTGGGATAAGTATGCAAACGTCCGTGGCAAATCTCCATAATTGCTGGAACTTTCCTTCTCCTGTAATTCGTAGCAAATCTTGAAAGATTCCCAGATTTTCCTACGTTGCTATTTTTATTTTGAATGGGAAAAGTGGAAAGTGTTTATGAACAGTACCAGATGTAGACACCTTTTGTGTAAAATTACTCTCTGCTCTTCTAATAGCGCACAGCGATGACTTCATGCTGTACATTGGCATCATTGTATGGTCTGCATTCACAAGCATGTTGTGAAATTGATTCGAAACCAAATGCTGGTATTTAATATGCAAGAAAATACCACGTTTAGCTGCCTACAGACTGCATTTTTAAAATAATGATTGCCATGCCATGCCAGCCATGTTCACTTCCAAAATTCAAGATGAGTTGCAAATTTTCCTAAGCCTATTTTTTCCTAAGCCTATTCCTAAGCAGTTCTTGGCTCTTCAAGAAGTAGCATTATAAAGGAATTCAAGTAGCTCGTTATAAAGATCAGTTTGGCAAATCAAATAAAAATGTTTAATTTAATTTTGAGTAATTTTCAAGATGTTTGGGAAGCCAGCAGTAACTAAGAATGTTGTGCATAGCAACTTCAGCTGGCTGCATCGCACAAGCAGAATTTTGGGGATGGTTCCTCCCCAGTTGGTGTGGAATAGGAAGTGGGATCCAGAGTATGATCCCCAGCCCCTTACAGTGGCTGGTGTGTAAGTCTTTCTCTAGAGAAAGACCAGTCAAAAGCAAAAAGCATATAAAAAGCATCTCCTTAATGATATCTGAATACAAGGGCTCTCCAAATTACCAGTAAACCAATAAGAAAAAAAATAACAGCATCTGAAACAATCTTCCATCAGAAGAGGGGTGGCCAGCAGGGACAGGATTGTCCCTCTTTGCTCTTGTGAGGCCCCAGCTGCAGTACTGCATCCAGGTCTGGAGCCCCCAGCACGAGAAAGATAGAGAGCTGTTGGAGAGGGTCCAGAGGAGAGCCACAAAGATGATCAGAGCACCTCCCCTGTGAGGAAAAATTGAGGGAACTGGGCTTGTTCAGCCTGGAGAAGAGAAGGCTCCAGGGAGACCTCATTGTAGCTTTTCAGTACTTGAAGGGAGTGTGTAAACAGGAAGGGGAACGGCTGTTTACGAGGGTGGATAGTGATAGGACAAGGGGGAATGGTTTTAAACTGAGACAGGGGAGGTTTGGGTTGATTATTAGGAGGACGTTTTTCACTCAGAGGGTGGTGAGGCACTGGCACAGGTTGCCCAAGGAGGCTGTGGATGCCCCATCCCTGCAGGCATTCGAGGCCAGGCTGGATGTGGCTCTGGGCAGCCTGGGCTGCTGGTTGGCGACCTGCACACAGCAGGGGTTGGAACTGATGAGCGTTGTGCTTCTTTGCAACCAGGCCATTCTGTGATCTTATCTGTCACATTGGCTTATGAGGGTTCCAATGATTTAAATGATCTTGAAAATCTGTTTCAAGATAAATCTAGTGCAGCTTAGTTAATGTTGCAATTTTAGTAACAGGTAAGCTAATGAAAGAATGGTAATAACACAGGACTAAAGAACTAACGATACTTTTTTTTTTTTTTTTCTTAACAAAGGAGCTCCTGAACCAGAGATGACAACTGATTGACTAGTGGCATCCTTTTTGGACCCACTCACCAGCCAGTAACGCCAGAAAGCTGTCTGAATACCTGTTTCTTGCTTGCTGTGGAGATGTGATGAAGATGCACTCCACCTCAGCTCTCTGAGATTAGGTGCGCATGAATAGAAGCATTGATGTTTTTTCCATGCTAGTTTATGCTTTGTTGGTATCAGTGGTATGGTGCTGTGGGCTCAGGGCTTGCTGCATTTGAAATTGGAAGAAGTGATTCCCAGGAAAAAAAAAACAATTTCCTTAGGACAAGATCTGTGTCCTCACATACATGGCTTTTCAGCCAACACCTGCTCAGTCACGCATTTCCTATGAGCTTTGTTTTGCTTAGCAGAGGTATCTCCCACATGAGCAAGCTCAGTGAGCTGTGATATGGTATGATATCAGAACAACCATGTTCTATTGTCAAAACCAACAACTGATGTTGGAAATTATTTTGCCACTGATGAAGGGAATTAGACACATAAAAAACCATCATTCAGTTTTGAGGGGCATAATCAAACCAGGGGAATGGAGCAGATTCCAGTTAGTACCTGGCCACTGTAATGCTTCTAAATTCTGTTGTGCAACTTTTGTTTGCATAAACTGTACAACATGACTTATTTGCTCTAATCAGCATAGGACTTTGTGGGTGTATAGGTCTACATGAACTCAAAGCGTTTGGCATTCTTCTACTAGCCAGATAACATCTCTGACAAGGAGGGCAGTGTTTGAAGGGAAAAAAAAAAAAAAAAAAGAGTCTGTTTAAATTGAGGATCACCAGGACTGGAGAGATGGAGTGCAGGCACTTCAGAGGTCTGGACAGGTTTCATCAATCAGGAGACTGCACATCACCATGCAAAAAAGAGACTTGGACTCCTGAAGTTTTTTGGTCGTGTATTAGAAAGAACAATATGGTAAGCCCTGTGACAGACATGGAATATTTTTCCTGAGCACCAGATTAATTCAGTGTTTGTGCAAGTAAAGCTTCCTAGGCATCGCAAATGCTGCAACCTATTTGTAAAGTACTGGCAAAAGGTTTTCAAAGCACTTAAAATTATTCAAGCATACCAGCTTCTGCAATAACAAGTTGTTTCCATCTACAATTGCTATGTGCAGTTAAGCTGAAGACTAAGTGAGGTTTTCCATGTCTGTAAAGGTTTATAGTTCTACTTCTTTATTTTAACATAATTTTATACAACAAATAGTGTGTGCACTGTGTATATGAGGAAATGAAAGCAATTACTATTTTAATAAACATTCAGCAGAATGTGATTACTTCAGCCCACCTGCAGGTGGTATTTAATCTGTAATGCAAGTAGTTACAAAGATACTGTAATCACCCACAGGAAAAGGCAAACAAACAAAAACATGGCAGGAAATGCCTATTTCTGATTAAGCCCATGGAACTGAGATTAGCCAAAGCAAGCTGTGTGACATAACAGGAATGGAAAGAGCTGATGTTAGCCTCAGGAAAGCTAGTGGAGTTTGTAAGTTCATTTGGATTCAATATGTTTTTTGTTATTAACTCAGCCCAGGATTCTCAGTGGTATGAAAAGTAAATTCCTAATTACAGATGTGATTAGATGCTGTACTCCCTCTCTTACTAACCTTGACTTCAGTGAAGTCAGGATTTCATCCTTTGGACAGTGTCTGCCTCCCAGAAATAGAGCCATTTTACTCAAACCAGGTCTTGTCTGCCCTCCTGTTTTCTATCCGTAGTATTCCAACTTTGAAAACCTTTTAGGTGAGACTCTAATAGCTTGTGCAGCACCCTCTAAAATAAGTAACTGTATGGTACCATACAAATTGAGAAATGCTGCTGCATAGCTGTTCTGTAGCATTTCTTGGATTAAAGAAGGAACACAACACCATCTGCAAAGGTAACCTCCACATTTCTTCAGAACTTGCATTTGCATCTCACTACATAGATTTACAATTGTACCCAACATACTGCTTAATGATGGCATTTATATTTGGGAATGTGTGATTAACTTCTCTTGTGTCATAAAATAGTATTTCTAGGGCAATCTGAGCCACATTCATAGCCAACAAAAGCCTTACTTTACTCTTCCTCTGTGATTTTGTTTCTTCTTTAAATCATATGTTGTGATTTCCGTATCTTTTCACTGCAGTGCTGCTGGAGTTTAGAATAAGTATTTATGCACTATTCTGTTCTTACAAAAAGTCTGCAATTAATTTTCATCCAGTCAAACTTTATGCATGCCCCAAAATAAACACTGAAGTTGTAATGGGAGCTAGATGTGATCTACCCTTTCTTATTCAAAACTATATAGTTTCAGTATGATTTTAAGGCATAAAACAAAGATAATGCTTCTCATTCTGAATGGTAGTTTCTGCCTCAAAGTCTGTGATTACTTTCATTTATTGGTACTCTACCTGGAAGCATTGCTGTCTTGCTCATGAAGCAATACAGAGCACCTCCTCAAACTTCCAGACCTAACTATCATTGTTGTCATGTTTTCCTTAGAGTTTATGTCTGCTTTTAATTCATGCTGCCTTTACTTTCAGTAGCTTTTGGAGACAATAGTTCAACTAGAAATCTTCCTTGTGTATTTATATGCAGAGGGAGATGGCTCTGTTTGTGTGAGCGGATAAAACAGTGCTGGGGAGAGTGCTGCTCAGGAATGATGCCAGGAAAAAAGCCAAGTTTTTCTGAATCACAGAAGGCCTGACAACAGGCTCAAGAGGTTTAGGGAGGCAGCCTATTTTTCCTGCATTTTCTCTCTCATGACTTCTTAAAGCCACTGCACCAGAAATGCTGTTCAGAACCCGAAGTGCCAAGCCAGTGGACTGTAAGTGGCAAAATGTTTCACTGTATGTCTTGTAGCACAGAGGTAAGACGTAGATTCATGGTAGATCCCTGCATGTCACCATCAGGATCTGTGAGCCACTGACCAATGTATAACATCTGTATCGTTTAATCTGACACAACAATAAACACAGGCTTGGAAAAAAGTGTAAAATACGTGCATCATAGTAGCTGACAAATATTCCACACAGAACAAATTTTGCTCTTTGCAAGACTCTTTATGCATCTAGATATTTATTCTTGGTATACCCCAAACGCTCCTGACTTCCAAGCAGGAATTTCAGCTGTTGTAGAGTCACAGATTTCCCTTCGGTTGCTATATGTTGAGAAGGTGAATGAAGACTCTGCAATACACAGCCGTTCTGTTCAAAGTGCCAAGCAGGGCAACAGGCCAGTCTGGACGCTTGCTGACTCTTCCTGCAGCTTTCCACAATGTCTGACTAAGATGGCTTTCTGTTTAGTACCTGCTGCTGTCAAGCTTTCTGCTCAACAATCCTTCTATAAGCAATGTTTCTACAGTCAAAATGCTTGCTTAAAAGAGTTAAGACTGAAGAGTTGACTTAGAAAAGAAAACATTTCTTGCTTCATGCTGGATCTCTCCCCTTGCCTCTTTCCTCAGCTCTGACTGTTAAGGAGGAAGAATTTTACAAGAAAAGAGAAAGCAGGTTTTAGTTGGTTTAGTTAGCAAGCAGTAAGGGGTTAAAACTTAGTAGCATATATTCGTTGGGAAAAAAATATAGGGAGGAGGATTGTGGTACCTGATTTGTTTATTTTTCTAGCTGAGGTTTTTTCCTCTGAAGACGCCAGCTTGCTGGAGCAGGACTCCATATACAGAAGGTTCATTTACAGTGGCAGGCAAGCAGCTGTGCTCTCAGCTCTATTTAGTTTATGTTGTGATTGATGACTTGAGTGGGAGATGTGAAGAGTGAATTAACAGCTTTAGTAAAAACACATTGTTTGTCTTCCCATTGACTTTCCACTTCATGTCACCTTGTCTGTTTTGTCTTTGGAGGACTCCTTTCCTTCCTTTTTTTCATTTTCTTAATTTATACTTTTTCTTCACCACACATATTAGTTCTCTGAAGAAGTTATTACGCTCACCCCTGTTGGTGAAAAACTCACACTTGAAAGGAAAGAAGCCTTTGAACATCCAGCTGTAGAAGAGAGTTTTAGAAAAGAATTACAGTAGGGCGCGTTTGAAGGGTGGTTAGGATAGGAGCCTGCAATCTGGGAGATTTTCCTCTTTTGTTGGCATTTTGTGATGCCTTACGACTGTAAAGGAACCAGTGTCACTCTCCCACAGAAAAAGTCCAAGTGATTTGGTTTATTTCTTTTTCTTTCCTCCTAGTGCCCGAGTGTACGCTGTGCAACGCTACTCTGAGCATATAAAAGTGAATTGTGTGTGATTTATAGAAGCTGTGAGCTTTTGTCTTCTCATTGTTTAAAAATGCTGAATGCCAAGGAAATGGAACTAAATGGGATCTCAACAGACTGTTTAATTTCTACCTCAATACAAGGCCAGACAACTCATTCTTGAGATCTCACAGATGTTCTTCTGCTCATTCTTAGACATCTACAATGATGAACTCTCTCCAGTCAACGTATGCTTGACTTCTACTATCCCAAACTTGAGAATATTTGATGTTATTAATTCTTGAGTGTTCTGTCATGAAATTTAATCCACCTTGATTTCATACTTCATGTATCTTGAGAGTAGGTTTCCTGTCCTTTCTGCAATATCTTTTTGTTTAGTATTCTGCCTGGCTTATATGTTCCTTTCTGCAGGCTAAGCATTCCATGCCCAGGCTTTCAGCCAGTTCCAGTACCTCCTCTTCTTTCTTGAAATGCAGCACCCTAAAATTAGACGTTATGCCCCGTCTAAGTAGACTGAAAACGAGACTTCCAGGCTGACTATACATCCCATTGTGACATAAACTTTTTTCAGAGGATGACCCGCTGACTCAAGCTGGCAGCACTACTGCATCCCTTTATGCAAACCTACCATCCAGCCATTAGCTGTCAGATATTCTAATGGCTGATTATCCATTCCTGTGTACTTGTCATTATGGAACAGCATTCTCTTCTTTACAGACCAGTTCTATTACTTGTGTAGAATCAAGTTTGGTCTCCAGTGTATTGATTCTCCCCTTATCTTCATGTCATTTATCAATTAATAGCCTCACTCCCAATTCTCCTGACTATTAGCTGCCTAGTCCTGGTCATTCATATGGTTGCAGTAAAAATCCTGTGGCATCCTTGGGAGAATCCTAGCTTCCATTTACATTAAGCATAGATAAGTATTTGATTAGTGTTCTCTTTTCTAACCAGCTTTGTACCTGACCTTTTGCATTTTAATCCAGGCAGCCATCAGTGTGATTGTAAGAAAATACCAAAAGCTTTACTAATGCAAACTTTTGTGTTATCTATGCCTCTGCATAATCATAAGACTTGATACAATATAATAGAGAAAAAGCTAGAATGGCAGTACATTACTTTCTCTTAACTTGGGTTCACTCTAACTGCCACTTTTATTCTCAGTGTTTACACATAGATTAGTTAATTATTACATGCCAGTATTTTTTTCAATGATTGAAATATGCTGTCAAGCCTGAAAATTCTCAGCTGTTCTATTTCTGCTCCTCTGTATGTATGATCACCATTTTCTCCCTTCTGCAGTCTTCTGGCATGCTATTAGTCCTCCATAGTTTTCATCGGATAAGCAATTGCTGGGGGGCTTTCACCAGTCTTCCTCAGGTTTTTGTATATGTTAGCCTGACTTGAACGTATTTAACCTACCTAAGTGCTCTCTAACTTCTCCTTCCCTTGTTCTTCAGTATTAACTAAAATTGCATGTAATTGTGATTCACCTTCTGAATTTTAATGGATAAAAAGCTTTAATGACTTTGGTTTTAATACTGTTCGTCAATAGATTCTTACTGGCTTAATGGACAAGCTGGGTCAGGCTGGGTATTAGAAAACATTTCTGTACTGTGAGGGTGGTCAGACACTGGAAACAGGCTTCCTTGCAAGGTGGTTGGTGCCCTGTACCTGTCAGAGTTCAAGAGGCATTCAGGTAATGCCCTCAATAACATGCTGTAACTTTTGGTTAGCCCTGAAGTGGCCATGTGGTTGGACTTAGAGATTTTTGTAGGGCCCTTGCAACTAAGCTATTCCATTCTATATTTAATATGACATCAGGAGCTGGTTTCTAGGGACCTTCTGCAGCCTTAGGGTAGGGAAAATACTATTTTTTTTCTTAATAGTCATAAAAAAAAAAAAAAAAAGAGAGAATTTGTAACATTTCTTGTATAACATGGGAATATAGCAAAATATGTGTGGACCAGCACAATACCTGGGAAGTCAGTGTATAACTGGCACGATATCTGCATATTGCTCTTTTTCCAGGCCCCTTTACAAGCTGATGGTGGATCACTGTGTCAAACTGCATTACTTGGTAAGTCTACTTCCAATTTGGAAGTCTGATGGGATTCAACTCCCCAGTCAGATTTACACTGAAGCACAGATGGGCTCTGGTCGTTTATTTTTCACTGGGCAGACGTCTAGATGCAGTACAGAAGCCTAAAAAGACAAGAACTGAAGTGAATCACATCCTTTGCTGCCAGGCACAAGGGTGTATCTGAGACTTCAACAAATGAAACAGTGGTTAAATTTATTACTGCCTACTGGGATTTTGGTGTCAGTTTAATAATGAAGCATTGAACTAAATAGAAACAACCAGTAATACCTGTGAGGGGGAAAATAACATGGCCACTGAATTTTCCTGTTAGCAACGTGACTGCTCTTCTGTTTTATTGCAACATTTTTGTTCCAGTCAAGGGGTTTGCCTCTACATGCACATGAAATAAGGCTGCCAAGAGAGGGAACACAACTTTAGGACTTGAACAGAGATAATAGTATGAGAGTATAAAAGCCTAAACTGTCATTGAAATACACACATTAAGAATAAAGTAGTTTTCATTTTAATGATAAATCTCACGTGAATCAAGAGCCAATTTAATTTGGAATTATGGTGCTTTCATTTTCAGATTGATTGAGGTAAGGCAAAAAGGTATTTGATGATGAAGTTGTGGACCTTGCTATGTTCAATTTTTAAGAAGCAGAATAGATAATTTAGGAAGTTTTACGTATTTATTTTCCTGTTTCCAGCATAGAAGAGTATGTGAAAATGAAAAAGACTTTATTGGCAAAGCAGTAGTGATCTTTCTTCCCACTACTGATCAAAGCCGTGTGAATTGATTTTGCAAATTCGACACTGAAAAATGAACAATTGTTCCTAACAGATGCTCTGTCTCAGCAGGGAAACTAGTGAAACTTTTTCTGTTGAAAATGAAGTTGGAGTTCGAGTAATATGTAAGTTGCATAAAACTTGTATGTTTTGAAATATAATTATTATAAAACTAATTAGTAATTATTGTTTGTCTTTCGAGAATAAAGAAGAGGGCTAGGTGCTGTACAAACACATGACGTCTGCACAGATACTATCACAGAATCACAGGCTGAATGCATTTTGAAAGATCAGGGTTTATCATGCTGCCCCAAGGCAGATTAACTAACCCAGTGTTATTTCTGAGAGATGTTTGCATCAGTTGTTCTTAAAGGTCTCCAAAGGTGGATGCTTCACAGCTTCCAAGGGCAATTTATTCTGGTGCTTTACCACCCTTCCTGTTAGAGAATTTTTTCCCGTAATGTTTGAACATAAATTTCTGTTATTGCAATTTAAACTTTTTATTTCTTTTCCTAACCAGCAAAGATATTTGAAAGATTATTTGCTCCATCTTGCAATAGCCTTGAACTCTGTTATTTTACTCCTCCCTTCCTCAGCCTGCTTTTTCTTTTTGGCTACGTGACAGCAATTAATTCAGGCCTTTCATGTAGGGTGGCTGTTCTGGGCCTCTGGTCTCCCTCTCTTGCCTTACTCAGGAGTCTTTCTGGTGCTTCAGCTTCCCTGAAATGTACCCAAAGTGAGAAGCCAGTTCTTCAGCTAAGGCATTGCTGGCACATGAAGGACTCCTGCACACTTGCATGTTCTGCTCCAGCTTGCATCCTAGTGAGGTGTTCGTATTTTTCAGATGACGTGGCTGATTCGTGCTCAGCTGGTGGTCCCTTACAACTTCCAAGACCTGTTATGAAAAAGAAGGTCTCTTATTTTCACAACAGGTCTAACCCTAGCTCATTGCTCTCTGTTGTGAATCTGTGTAGTCGGTTAATCTGACCTAAGTGCTGTCCTTCTGTTTTTTCCAAGAGAGACTTACAGTGCGTTTTAGAGCTAGACAGAGGCTTGAGGTATGGAAGAAAAAAATAGCTTAGACAAGATCACACAGGGAGCTTGGGAAAGAGCCAGGAATCCTTTCTGACTGACCTCCAGAGGCCTCATCTGCTGAGTCTCCTCCCTGGTGTAAGTGGAAAATCATTGAGTTGAGCACTGAAATTATGGCAAGCTCTAATATATTTTCATTCTGACTCATTTTCACTCATTGCTGTATTTATGGCCTTTACTAATAAGTGCCAACAAGATGAATGTTTGCCAGCCATCTATCAGAGTCTTCTGTGCGTTCGTTCGACACATGGCATTATCTATAACTATACACTAAAACCAAAAGTTGCTAATACTTCATCATGCAAGCATTATATGAATTAGCAGCTTTTGCAGGCAGACAGGCTGCTAGCCTGTCAGATAGCAGCAACTTTTATTTTGTGTTCTCCAGAGATTAATAGCCCTTCTACTCTTTTTCTTGACAAGAAGAACAGGCAGGCGTGGTACAGCTAGCCAGCAGTATTCATCATGCTGCCCTCCAGCTTTATATTGACAAAAAGAGAAGGCGACAGGGAATGCCATGAAATCACTGAACTGCTTCTTCTGAAAGAAAGCCAGTTAGGTATAGGTTTTAAAAGCAATTTCCCCAGCGATGTTTCTGTGGGAGTTGTTGGTATTAAGCACTCTAGAATAACGAGTTATTTGACTAAGTTCTCTAAAGGGAACAAATCGTAGAATCACATGATGGCTTAGGTTGCAAGGAACTTCAAAGATCATCTATGGGAGGCTATAAGGAAGAAGGGGACAGGCTCTTTAGCAGGGCCTGTTCTGATTGGTCAGGGGAAATGGTTTTATACTAAAAGAGAGGAGTTTTGGATTGGATTTGGAAAAGGTTTTTTACAATAGAGGTGATGAAACAATGGAACAGGTTGCCTGGGTTATGGAGGATGGCTTGAATGTCCTTGGAGACATTCAAGTCAGGCTGGACAGGGATCTGGGCACTGTAATCTAGCTGTAGGTGCCCGTGTTCATTGCAGGAGAGTTGGGCTAGATTACCTTTAATGGTCCCTTCCAACTCAAACGATTCTTTGATTATCTACCACAGCATCCCTGTCATGGACAGAATTGCCAACCACTAGAGCAGGTTGACCAGGGCCCAACACAACCTGGACTTGAATGCCTCCAAGGATGGCATCCACATCTTCTCTGGGCAGCCTCTGCCAGTGCCTCACCCTCTGAGTAGAGAATTTTCACCTAACATTTCGCCTAACTCTTCCTCCCATCTTTTAGTATAAAGTCATTCCGGTCTCCCTGGCGTCTCTTCTTCTCCAAGATAAACAAGCCCAGCTCCCTCAGCCTTCCTTTATGAGAGCTGCTCCAGCCCTCTGATCATCCTCATGGTTCTCCTCTGGACTAACTCTAACAGCTGCAATTCTTTCCTGTGTTGGGAGCCTCAGACCTGGATGCAATACTCCAGATGGGGACTTACAAAGGCTCAGTAGTGGGGGACAGTCTGCTCCCTCACCCTGTTGTGCTGCCCAGAATGCTGTTGGCCTTCTGAGCTGCAGGAGCACACTGCTGCCTCATGTCTTTTCAAATGAGATGGAGAGTGGCTCCACAAGCGTGTCAGCCAGCTCCTTCAGAGCCTTGGATGCATGTTGTCTGGCCCCATAGACTTGTACATATTTAGTCTCATGAGGTGGTCTCTGACTTGCTCTGCTCTCAGAGAGAGAGGCATTTTGCTCCCCTGGCCCCCACCTAGAGGTTCAGGGATGTGAGAGGTGTGAGAAGTCTGATGGGCAGTCAAGACTGAGGCAAAGAATTTGTTGCGTATCTCAGCCTTCTCCATGTCAATTATAACCAGTTCTCCTTTTGCATTTATCAGAGGGGCTGCACTCTCCTTTGCCTATCTCTTCTGACCAGTGTACCTGTAGAACCCATTCTTGTTCCATTTCACATCCCTTGTTAAGTTCAGTTCCATCTGTGTCTTGGCTTACCTAATCCCATCTCTGCACATCCAGACAGCATTCCTGTGTTCTTCTCAGGCCACATGTCTCTGCTTTCACTGCCTCTGCATTTTCTTCTTTTCCCTCAGTTTGACCAGCAGGTCCTTGCTCAGCTATGCTGATTTCCTGCCTCTTCTGCTTGATTTCTTATGCAAAGTCTCTTAGGAGAACTGAATGATTACCTAAATCTGAATTACTGAGTGATCTTAAGAAGTAGTGTTTCAAGCAGAAGCTGGCAACAAGAAAGAATGTTGATATGACAACAGATGAGGTGGGCATAAAGCAGCATTACAGTCTGCTGAGTAGGACACATCAGATTGTGAAGTTTTATTGTCTTCGGTGCTGTGGTTTGAAATGTTTAGCTTGACTCTGACACTAGCGATTAGAAACATGCTGTTTGTTATTAAAAGAACCAAGAACTGTATTCTGCTCTGGTTTTCAAAATGTGCCCATCATTGTGGTCACCAACTTCTTTAATCATTTGTGGTTTTTTTCCAGCACAATATTTTTAAAAAATATTTTTCTGATGTTCTCTGCAAAGTTACAACTGATTCAAGTTATACCTTCTGTTGAGTTCCTGCTGTCTTCTTCCAGACTACATGGGTGTCAAGTTCCCAATGTTTTATTTGGTTTCTGAGCTGGAAAAGAGTTTCCCTGCAAGTAAACCAGTATTTTAAATGCTATAAGGGTTGCATATTGCCTTTGGGGTAAGTGTGCTTTTTTGGTTCAGCTACAGACGAATGCCTGTGTATGGAAACTGTTGAGTCACGGCCTGAACCACTGATTGAGCACCTGGGGAAAGGACCTGATCAGCCCTGGGAGCACAGGTGAAGGCAATTGTGTGACCAGAAGGGGTGGAGCCTGGCTGCGCTTCTCTTACACCCCATTTAAGGGCTGACTGCCCCTGGGGAAGGAGCTCTTTCCGGAGATCCCTCCCCTGCAAACCTGGAATCTTCTGATATGAGCATCTTCCCTTCCTTTATATCACGCCAATCCTTTGTCATCACACCTCTGGTGAAACACCATTTCCCATCATATCCATCTGTCCAATTGCTGTAGGCCTGCCTTAGGATTAGAGTGAGGGTAAAAAATGGCCAAGCAGGCACTTCTCGGTTTCGTTTCTTCTAGGCTGAGGTGAGACTTAGCCTGGACTCGCTTTATGTGTGCATGTTTCTTTTTTGGATGCTTAGAAAATCCTTGGCACTCTACATGTAGTTGGGTAAACGAGTAAATCTATCCCTGCATCAGAAAGCTGTTTCATTCTTCCAATAAAAATTAACACAACTTAGTGCTGAGTTAATCCTAACTACCCATCAAAATTATTGCTAGAGATTATGCTCTATCTTAACTCAAATACTGATCTGGAAAATTCTGGTCAAAGACATTCAGCTCACTGTTGAGACACTGTTAAACTGACACGGAAGGCTGAGTACTCTTAAGCTATCCATTCTTAGACAGAAGCCTGGTAGAAATGTGCCACCTATGTTTTAGTAAAGCACATCACTGTGGCTGGTCTTGTTGGAGGTCATCCAGCGGTGTGTGTTTTGGTCACCTTTGTCTGTTGCTAAATTGCTTCTGTGCCTTTTGACTCAAGAGCTCTCACCATCCTCTTATCCAAGGAAGGAGCAAAGGGATGTCCGTTTAAATGATTTCTATGCCACTTAATGGTGTTTATGTGTTGTCACTGTGTTTTGCAGCTCATGTAGAGTACATTAATTTATTACCCCGCTGTGCTCATGTGATTTACCCTTACAGTCACCAGGAAAAATCCCCTTGACTTGAGAGATCTCATGATATGGCTCACTGGATAATGAAAGTTATTCCAGAAATAATTTCTCAGCAGTTCTTGATGTTCCTGATTTTCAGTATTGCTGTAAAACTTGGGCATAAAGGAACCAGAACTGCTAACTGCAGCGTGCCTTTCTAATTAACTATTTTTCAGATCCTATTTAATTCCTTCCTAGTTGAGCCCTAGACAGTAATCTCAGCACTAGAAAATAATCATTTTTTTCAATTAGAGGCCCTTTTTAGGAAAAATAAGTACCCTGCAATTTTGTACTTAGAGTCTGCTGGAGGGTGCAAATAAGTGAATTTAGACTGCTTTATACTCAATAATGCTGTCATAATCTTTGATAACTCAAGATTTCCTGTTAAAATCACTATGGAGCTAATGAGAGGCGTGTTTTTGTGTCAGCCTATCTGCTTGTCAGTGAAGAGGAAATTAAGCTTTTTGTCAGTTTGCCATTTTCTAGTTTATCCTTGGCACTGGCAATTGGTGTACGCACAGCAGATAAACCCTCTGCATCCTCTTCACTGCCATGTCTCCAGGCTGCATGTGCCCCACACTGTTGGAGCATCTCAATCCTCTTTGTCTTCTCACTCTTCAGTATTGACGTGGATCATACGCCAGGCTCAGAAATGAAGTCCAGATTGCTAACACTGTTGTGCTTGATGCCCTGTCCCTGGAGGTGGGGCTGGATAAGGCCCTGGCAGCCTGATCCAGCTGTGGTGTCCCTGTTCATTGCAGGGAAATTGGATGATGCTATGATTCTATGATTCTAACTACAGGACTATATATGTTGTTGTTTGTAGAGACTGGCCTGGGTCAGTGCACAGCCACTAGTGAACTATGGAATTGCCCTGGAAATATCCCTTTAACAGTGTTATTTTAACCCTAAGAAAGTTACCTGCACATTCAGACTGAGATCCTTTTTCCTGAGTTTTTCTTTGTTCTTTTCTTTTTTTTTTTTTTTTAAATTTCTGAGACAAAGAAAGAAATTTCAAATGCTGCCTCACTTGGCCAATTCCTAAGCTGCAGAGAAAACATGCACCTGACTTTAAGAATATTAAAATAAACACGAGTTAAAAAAAAAAAAAGTTCTGCAGTTCTTTTGATGCAAGCTAATCATTACCACGTTCTCTATGGAAATGCCTATGAACTGCTGACTTGTCTAATCTTTTTTCCTCTCTCCTCTCGTTAACAGAGCACACTGATCTTGTGAGGAAGCCAGGACATCATCCTGGAGGCTGCAGCTTGTGGTCTGTGAGACCCTGAGATTTTGGACCTCCTCCTGGGGCCCCTTCTCTCCTAAGGAGCATAAGCCCAGCAGCTCTGCAGGGGAAATCAAGGTATGGTGCTGTTTGCTTCATGGGGAGGCAGTGAAGCGTGGCCTACTTCTAATTCTCTGTTACTTTCCTCCTAAAGCAGAGGGGTATCTAGGTAACCCTGCCTACTTATGCAGGCAGAAATAGCAGAGGAGTTTAGAGGCCAGGCTGCTCAGGTGGGCTGAGGCATGGATTAGCACTGGAACTGGCTGCTTTAGCAGTGCTGATTGTCTTGCAGACTTGGTACTGCAGTCATACTGTAGCATTATTATGCTGCCCATTGATTGTATGTGAGTGTATGTTTGTGTGTAAAGGGTTAAGAGAAAATTCCTTGGAAAGAAATTAGTGTTAAGGAGCTTCCTAGATTCAGCTCTGAGCTGCTGCTGTAAGATCTCACAGTTAGAAGTGTGGAAGCTAGCTAAATCTGCTAAAAATTCTGCTATCTTTACCAGAGGTCCAGTGAGACCTCCTAATCTTGAGAGCCTGCCATCACCCTGTGATTATATCTTACGTACTTGGCTGCTCCTGCGTGGAAGAAATTCCTCCTCTTAGCTTTGGGCTCAGCTCAGATGCCAGTTCTCATAGGGGCTAAATTTATATTTGGGTTTGAACGTACATGCAGTAGGAAACTCCACCTGTCCATAACACCTTCATATCTACATGAGGTGAGAAGGACAGGGCTCTTTCCTTTTTTACCTGCTATTAGCTTTGGGGCTGTGACCAGCTCTGGCTGTGCATTCATTTGAGAAGTGTATCCCAGCCATTTGTTATGTTCTTGGCTCTCACTCTGTGGCTTGCAGTAAACTCTCAACAGGACCGACTGTGCGATCCAGCCATACTGCTTAAAGGATGATAGTAAAGCCCCATAGAACTAATCTGTTGTTACTGCCATGATATGGTAGGGGTAGTTTTCCAGTGTGCAAGAACTACCAAATATTTCTGACTGCAACATCAGCAGCACAGAGCTGACACAGAGACACAAAATCATACTTGGTGAGGGCTTTGAAAGACGTCAGTGCCAGCGAGTAGGAAGGGTGCAGGGAGAGCAATAAGGAAAAAAATACTAGTGAAAGAATAGAGAAGGTTGTTTCCACCTTGAATGAAACTGGTAATTATGAGCAGCAAAGTGGTGCTGCTGAGAAGATCATTTGCACCTCCTGGTGGCGAATGAAATCTTGAAACGTGTCAAGATCAGACGTGCCAACAATATTCACCTATGATGCTCTGTTCGCCCTAATGAGGCAGCAGCAAATTCCTGAAATCTGCTGTGGAGGAAAGAAAAATAGGTACAAAAACAATGCAACACACTGAATACTTAGAGCTTTTCACATCACTTCTGAATTAAAAACAGATCCATGGAGAATATTGTTCTTGAAAGCTAAATTTCCAGAGAAACCATCTCAGTACTCAAATTTTCAGTGCATATATTTCACAGGAGCAGTGACAAAATTGGGAAGAAGACTGTAAATGTGCAGTACAATAGCAAGTGTGTATTCTCTACTGTTTCACCCATGGTGAAAACATCTGGGAAATAAATGTTGGTGGCTTTAGAAAATAGTACTGACAGCCTTACCATCAACAATCCAGGCTTGTTGTTCAGCTCTCTGATTAGCTGCAGGCTTCCTGTGCCTTTCGGGCTCCTGTGACTGCCTGTCATTAGCAAGGTGCCGTTGTAATAAATATCAAATAAGATAATGAGCACCTATGGAGCCCAAATATCTCTAAAAACTTGTAGGAGTATCTATTTGTATTTCTGTGGGACACAACTCTTGGGACATCACGGTCCTTGTGAACACAGGTGCTGATCTAAGCTCCACCTCATACACAGTGTTGTTTTATAGGTATGTCTTTCATGTATGCACAAGGTCTTAAATCACTAAAAAAAAAAAAGGGTGAGGTAGGCATGACAAGATCTTGCATCTTATCTAATCCTGCATGGAGAGTGTTGACAGAGTGGAGTACAATACACACATAGCATTGGTCAGGGCCTTGGGAATGTCTTCAGTACTCAGGAGAAGCCTGTTTAACTTTTGAGCAATGGATGGACACCTGAACTGAAATTCTAACTTAATGTGCTGCCAGTTGGGCTTCACTGAACATTGCAGTAAGCAAGCAAAGATGCCTGGTGGTTTAGATCAGACTGGAGCATGCGTTTTTCTTTAAGCCTGATAGCAACCCCTGGTCTGTGCAGGTTAGGAACTGAGATATCTCTAGCAAGCAGTATTCCAAGCCTTTGTGCCTGATTTCCCTGGATGCTGGCTGCCCTGACAACTAACAGCACTGCCACCATTCCTCAGGTCATGTGCATAGCAAGTATGTGTGTTCCCTGGAGAGTACTGGCAGAGCTGTTTAGTACTTAGCAAGTAGAATGTATATGTAATTGTATACACTGGGAAATACATACAGAAACTTAGGTGTCATGTTCTGCTAACTGAAACTCTTGAATATGTAACAGCCAATTGTTGTTACAACAAATTGGTCAGCCTTGATTTGGCCAAGGTACTGATACTAACCTGCAGCCCGTGCTCACAGCCTTGAGAAGGGCTGCTTTCTGCACCATTCTGTTAATGGAGCACTCTAAATAAAGGATTTGTCTACACTGCACAATTAACAGTAAGGTGGATGGCAGCCTTAAATGCAGCATATGCTGAAAACATATCTCTGTGCAGGTTACCTAGCAGGGGAATTTCATTGCAAGGTTTCTTCAGCTAAAAATCAGTTTTTCTGTGCTCACAGCTAATAATCAGATTTGTCACTTAATAACAATAAGCACACGTGTTTAGCATCAGCTGACATGCTCTTCTCTGAAATCTTACAAGCCAATTATGATTATAATGAACAATGGAGGCTGGCTGATGTTTTGCAGTCTATTTAGAATTACTGTTATGCTCTAATGTTTTCATTTTGTTTTTGTTTTTAAGCAGATTGCACAGGCCAAAGGGAAACAAGAGGAGTTCATTTCTATAATTGCTAATTGTTCACAGTACACCATACTGAAAAATGAGCAAGCTCCATAGGAGGTCAATCTACTTCCCCTGTTTTAAATAATCAGTTCATTGGAATTTGCTACTCAGGATCTGAATTAGGAGATTCTATAAGAGAAGTCTCTCAGTGAGATGAACAGCTGGATATAAGAGGAGCATAGAAGGAAGGAGAGAACTTACTAAGTTGAGAAGTTTTATTCTAGGAGTTGAATGAGTCAAAAATAAGTCATGCTGTTGTGAAAAAAAGATGGAGTGCAGTCTTGAATACCAAAATGCACCAAGAGGAATGTAGCTTGCTTGATGTAAACACTGAGATATATCAAATATGTATATGTCACCTTTCTGCTGATTTTCAGCATTGGAAAACCATCAGTTGGACTCCTCTGGTGTTGCAGTTGAAGATGTGGACTGGTTGCAAAGAATCCAACGAGAAGCATGGAGTATAGTAAGAGGTCTCAAATATGACCAAAGAGGTAAGAAGGGCTGATCAGGTGGCGTGGTTCAGCTTTCAAAAGAGAAGACAGAAGATGACACAGGGATAATCCTTAAATGTGCAGAAAGTAGAATCAAGCTACCTTCAGTATCCTGAATGCAGGGGGACAGAAATAGCCTTTCCTAAAAGTTATGTGACAGAATGTTGTGATCTTGCTCTACAGGAAGAAAGGTGCAGGTTAAACAATAGGAAAAAGCTTTCTAACAGGATAAGAAGATGCTGGTTGTTCTGTCTTCGGAGTCTAACAAAAATGTTAGACAAACATCTGTCATGAGTGATACAGGTATAGATAATTCTGCCTGGGGCAGGGGTATAAACCAGGTGACCTGGTGAGGTATTTTCTTTCTCTATTTTTTGTGATTCTGTACTGAGGCTGCCCTCATTTATTCATATTTGGATCAGAGCCATTCGTCTAGCCTGAGATTCACATTCCAGGATGGGATTTTAAACAAAAGCTTTGAGAGATGGGATTGGGGTGCCTACCTCCTGTTGACTATTTTTGAGAATCCCAGCCTGTAAAACTATTCTTCATCCAGACAAGATAATTTTCTATATGTTGACATTTAAATCCTCTGACTAAATCTGTGTTTCCCTGAAATGTTTCTGCCTGTTCCAACAAGCCCTTCTATGCTAAACTGTTATTTTTTGGGATCAATCAGGCTGAGAACATTCAACGTATCAAGCCTGGTATAAAAATGGGTGGTCAGAATGTGAGCTAGTCAACAGCAGCATTTGTATTTCTTTTTTAAATACAAAAGGGATCATTTCCACATCTCAGAATAACCCAGATATCTCAGAGAACAATACTCTGACCCAACAAGCATTACAGCTCTGTGGGAAATAGAGGTTTGGCAAACAGTGATCTAGCACAAAAATGGAACAAAACAGATTTTAAATGAATAAAGTAAACAGCACTGACTCTTCCTCATAAGTCTGTTCTGCTTCCTCTGTCCTTTCTGTTGCATGCACTTCACTATTGGGTAGTGCAGCTGTTGTTTTTTTTCTTCCCATTGGTACTTGTCATCTGCTCTGTGGTTGCTCCACTCATTTCTCTGAAGAATCTTTCTTTTTATTTCCTTTTTTTTTTCTTGTTCTCTTGCATCAAGAGCAAGGAGCAAATCAGGTTGTGAATAGGAAGTCAAGCAATTTCACTTGTGTGTGAGCCAAAGAACTCCACAAGTGAAAGATGCCTGTCCTCTGGTGTAACAGCTGAGGGATTAGGGGCATTATCCAACAAGCCAGAACTCAGTGTGCTACTTCTTAATCTAAGGTGCTTAAATTCACATTACTGAGAAGTATACCTTCCAGTCAGGGAGCAGGGAAGGAGTAGACTTGCTCCTCCTGAAACCAGGTTGCACTTCAGAGAGGGCTTGCCTATAGCAGAAAAGGAAACTGGTGGAAGGAGATATCTGCTGCCTCGTGAGGGAAGGATTTCAAAGAGGGAGGAGGGTACCTGCTTGCATCTCGGACATTGAAGCACTCTCCAGGGAACACACAACTGAATCCTTTCAGACCACAGAGGGCCTGCAGTTTCGGTTTTCCACAACTCAAAGGATTATGAGAATCAGCAGCCTGTTTTCTGAAAGCAACATTTTAAAAGAAAAGAAAAAAAACAAACAAGGAATCGTTGTGTACAGACCATAGGCTCTTCAGCTGTTCTGTAGAAAGCTGTTCTGTAAAAAGCTGTTCTGAGCTTGTGATGGTCTGGGTCTCGAGGCATCCCATCTTCTCAGCTGGGTCTCAAGCATCCCAGGCTGAGAACCAGGCTGAGAAGTCACATAGGATTATCTCAGGGACATTTCTTCCTTTTGCATTTCCTGCTTCCTAGCTTAGTGCCCTACACATTCCCCCTCCCCTTTGCCTGTTTAGTGGGCTGGCTGCCAGGAATTTAATTGCCACTCCCTTTCTGGATTGACCAGGCAGGTGAACTTTGGGGAGTGCCTTAAGACCACACAGCTAGCAATTATGATTTGCTAAGATCTACCACGCTGAAGTCCCTCTGTCAGTTTGTTCCCAAATCATCACTTGCAGGGCTCTTTGCAATTCTTTCGGGCTAGTTTGCTTGCTTTTGCTCTAGGCTTTCCAGGCCTCTCTGTGCTGTAAATTCTTCCCTGTCCTCTTCTATCGTGCTATACTCCTTGTTTGCAACAGCTTCCCACTTCCTTATCAGCTATTATTCCAGCTTCTTAAGCTCTCTTTTTCCAGTTAGTGATTTTATTTTCATATATTCCCTGTGGAATGTGCTGGGAAAACACACACTTTCAAACTCTGAGATTCACTTATTGACACCCTTACAGCATTTAGGCACCCTGTGTCTTGTCTTCCACTCGTGGGGCATGTGGGTAATGCCTCTGTTGCTCTTTCAGGGCTTGGGACAAAGCAGTCCTACATCCCTTGCCTGTGGGTTCCCTCAGGCCTGAGATGTGTGCTTGCTGTTCACCTGCTTGGTTTTCCCTTATGCCTCTGCATGGTGTCAGTGGCCCAGGCAGCTCTTGGGAAGCTGTGTAGGTGTGTTGGTTTGTGTGATTGTCAGGCTGCGTTTGACTGCAGCAGGGCAAACTGATATAATTACCTGAGCACAGCTGGTCTCCCTAAACATATGAGTTGGCTTACGAACCTGGCCTGCTGCCCATCAATTATGAGCAAAAACCCCACTGGCTGTTTTGGGCTGTTGGGGTGGTGCTTTGAAAGTAGCTGCAGAGGTCTTTCTGAATCCTACTTCCTGGTCTTGCTCCAGCTTGTCCTACACCATTTGTACAGACTCCCTTAGCACTGCTGTCCTATGCCAGCCCCCTGCCCTTCCTTCAGCACTAGCCTCGTCTAACCTTTAACACAGTCAGATCCTGCACAGGCACCCAACTACTGATGGCATCATTAAGCTCTCCTGATCTTCATGACAGATCTTCATTCTGAAGAGTGAACTTGCACCAAAATATATTTTGGAAAATGTGCTCTTTCTCTGCCAGCAGTGTAGAGGCAGAGCCCACTGAGAGCTGTGATTGCCTTCATCCTTGAAGCACTCAGTACTGACATCAGTGGTATGATCTAAGATAAAGTTGGCATGAAAAATGTTTGCCTGTCTTTTCAAATTCTGGGGGTTTGGTCTGTTTTTCATTACAGCTGCAGTGTGTGGCCTTGACACAGCCACTCCTGCCTCTCCAGGAGAGGGAGAGGGGCATCTGCCAGCACCTCCAAAGGGCTGCCACGTCAACCTGCCTGTGAGGCCTCTGGAGCCCAACTGAAGGACTGCTGGGCTGTGAGCAAGCTCTTCAGTGCTTTCTATGAAGATCTCTTGATGTTAAGACTGGAAAAGTGACTGCAAAATCTCCACAAGATGATTCAAGCCTTGAAGCCAAGGTCACAGTCTCATCCTGGAGCATCACTGGAAAGCTGCACTTAAAAGAGAGGTCCTGGAGATCCAGGTCTCATTCCTTTAGCCTCAGTTCTCATGAATGAAATGTCTGTTCAACTTACCACTAAAAATTTGATATTATGCAGGATGGAGATTTAAAAAAAAACTCTCTTTCCATTTTTTTAATTTGAATTCATTCAAATCAGCATTTTCAAAATGTTTTGAATTTTCAGGGCAACATGTTCTGCTTTCCCTAAGAAACTCTTATTTGTTGAATATCATGATATTTATGAAGGATCTCACTCACTCAAAACTTGCTGTTTAAATCCTTCTTTTGAATGTTTTTTCCTCTATACAGCTGGGCATGCAAACTAGATGAGGTCAAACGTTTGAGTTTGCTTCGATTCTGCTGTCTGGACTTTTGTGGATGTTTGCCTGAATCAAACTGTAAGCAATTCCAAAAAAGCATCTGACTCTGTGAAGCATAGTGTGCCTTCATCTGCTTCTTGACCCACAGTCTGTCAGAATATGGCTGCTTTCTCAGTTTTTGTTGGGTGTCTTCCAGCCCTACTGTATTTTCCATTTCACCTCCTTTATTAGTGTGACTAAGCACCTCTTGAGGGTTACTCTGACATGGTTGGTTTGCTTGAGTTGATAATTTCTGGGAGTTATACAGCTGGACTTGTGCTTTTAAGTTTCCCATTACCCCATAATTTTTTATTTTTTATTTTTTTATTTTTTTGCCTTGGAATGGCTCAAGGAAATGCACGCAAACTCAAATCTGCATGTGGTTTTACTTGGAAGGCTTAATGAGAGATGATGACCTATGTGTTTCTAGCCTGTTTCTACAACAAGAAAGTTATTTTGAATTCTGTACAGCACTTCTCTCACATATTCAAAGATGAAGATATTGAGCAGCTACTTTTTCAGCTAGAAAACAGTGCATCTGAGCAGTTGCAGAACATTGTATTGACAAACTTTCTTCTTCTTGCTCACCACATTCTCTTTTTACGAAGGAATGACCTCGGCCCCAAAAGTTAGTCCCATATTTCCCTCTGGCCTTTCAAGGCATGTTACAAATCATCCTTTGATGATTTGATGCAGCCTTTATGATTTTTGCTAACAATTAAACTCCACAAAATTAATGTGTTGGCTTTTATGGACAGTATCCGGGTTGAAGAGCAAGGCAGGCTACAAAGAGAAGGGAAAACCCAAGAGTTGAGGCAGGTGACTGTGGGAAGTATGGCTCTGCTGCCTCAGCATGGGCTGGGTGCTTCAGGCATGACGAGCTTTGATCCTGGGCTCTCGTGGTTGCCTGGCTTTGCTCACATGCCGATGTCAGTAGGATTACAAGAGACGTTAAATGGGGTGAGTGTTTGCTGTATTGCACCTTTGCTCTGTACCCACTGCTGGGGAGCACATGAACAATGTGGCTGTGGGCAGCTGGAGTCACTGCTCTGAGTCATGCCACTCAGTGGACTTGAGTTAGCATCTCACTAGAAGACATTTTAGTTGAAAATAAAATGAAGTCAAGCACAGGAATCTAGTGTCTCATCTCTCCTATGTGCTAGGACCACCTGCCTCTAACTAAACATGTCTGTTCCACACAGCTGCAGTTTGTAATCACGTTTCTTAAGGGCACCTGGTACTGGTGCCCTGGTGCACCGCCTCTTCCTGTCTTCAGCCAGCTCTCAGCACTGCTGCCGGGGAGATCCGAGCCTTCTGTCTTCGGTAAGAAATTTCAGTTTCTTTACTGGCATTGAGGGTGGGAGTTCTAAGTAATTGCTCAATGTGTTTCTTAATTGATCCGGTTTGTGGTATACTATGAAAATTTGCTGACTTGTTTTGGTTTTCAACCTGCAAAAGACTCTTGGAGAGCTTGCCTGTTCCTGTTAGAGTTGTTGGAGAAAGGTCCTGTCTGTTTAAAGTCAGCATTAGGTACTTGTTGGCTTCAGTATTGAATCAAGGAAGCTCCTTGTGAGGTGTGAGGAGGTTATCTGCCTGACCTGGGATCATGCAGTGGGGGTAGAAAGCAGTGAATGCTTACGTGACCTTTATTACAGAAGCAAATCCTTACACAGCCGTTTCCTTTCTCTGAGCTGTTGCAGATTGTGGGCATGCACAGATCAAAATGTTGTAGGTGATGTAATTCTGTGATTGCTGAGAGTATACCTAGCAAGGCTGGTGGAAAGGAGCTGTGGGACAGGTGCTACAGAGCGGCTGATAATCAGCTGCGCCAAAGAACTGCACTCATGTGACACACGTATCAAATTTCTTCCACCTTTAAAGTGCAGTTTTGGGTGTAAGAAAATGTGAGAAACCTGGCTAAAAGCTCTGTGATGATCTGTATTAATGATCTCCCTTTTGCACTGCTTTTTTTTTATTATTATTTTTTTTAAACTGGGTTGTATAGCACCCTGGAATGCAACCTCCAAACAGTAGGACAGAACTTAATGGTAAAAAAAAAAAAACAACAAATGTCCAGGTGATCTCGTTTGCAAAAGCAGAACTTTGAATCTTGAGTACAAATAGTGTCAAAGTGAGTATAGTCAATAAGTATTTCAGAAGATGTTTCCTCAATACGGTTTCATAATGGCTTAAAGACTACAAAGGTCTCTGTAGCTTTCCTTATAGCAGTCTGAAAAGGGTGCAACCACTGCAGGGATCCAATGAGGTGTGAACCCAGAGATGGTTTGTAATGTGTTTATCAGACTCTCCTTTCCTTCCTTAACCTCTGACCTTCGAAAGCACTGATTGCAAGTCCTGCTGAGATACAGCAACCTTGCTGGATAAAAGAAGAAAGCACCAGGGATGTTAAAAAACGCGCTTTCTGTTGTCACCACCTTGTTTTCCAAAGGTGTGTGATGATGGTCAAGGAGCAAGTGTTGAAAGCACCATAAGGAATTTTTCTAAGGAGAAGCTAAGCATGAGAATAAGGGGGATGTGTCTGAAGATCGGTTTTGCTTGGCATATGCTAACGCTGTGTTCTTAGGATGGAAGTTGGAGATGATTTTCTGGCTAGTTATAGATGTGAGGAAATACAGTGCTATTTTCTGTCCTATGCTTTAGGTAGAAAGTGTTGGTTTTTTGTTTTTTGTTTTTTTTTCTGTGGGCAAATTCAGCCTTTATTTTGTGTCAGCGAATACAGTGTTAAAATATAAAACATTGCTGTTATGTTAAGCTGGAAAAAATATTTACCTCCCAAATCTCTATTCTTCCAAAGAGGCGTCTTTGTAGCTTTCTCTCTCCTTGTTTTTATTTTACTATTATTACTTGCTGGTTTTTGTTTTGGTTTGGTTTTGCTTTGTTTTGTTTTCCCTCTTTCTTTTTTCTTTTTCTTTCCACCCATCCTCACTCTCCCCTTCATGTTTGTGAATACGGTCATCTTCCATTTCTGCACATCAGTTCTGCCCCACTGTGCTGGGGCAGTGGACCTCCAGAAACTGGCTTGGAATCATGAGTGTCTGTCTGCAACTGGATGCAATTGAAATCCAACATTTACTTGTTTGGGAGATGCTGCTTTCTGATTTTATAAGCTTTTATAAGCTTTTGTAAGCTCTCCATCTTGCAGTAGGCTGCTTGCCCCATGTCAGGAATGAATAGCATGCGGTCTTCACGCTGCATTTAGCCTCCTCCATGCACAGGAGTAAGAGTCCAAATATCTTATACCTTATCTGATGTATTTGTCCCTCACTTGTCACCGTGTCAGTTGTCAGCACTGCTGGTCCTGCTCATGTTTGGTGAACTCCTGACTTTTTGCTTATTTGACCTCTCAGCAAATATGAGGCTTTTGTAGAGTTTCAAATATTTGGGAACTGAAACAGAAGAAACATTCAGCTCCTGCGTGCCATCTGTAGAAATTACTTTCATTTTTTTTCTTAAGCAAAAGGTTTTTTAACGCTATGCAAAATTGAATCCAAGCGTATATGTAAGCTCTTGGACAGACAACCCAAGGAAACTCGGGATAGTGATTTCATGGGATTGAGTTGGTTAGATTGTGTTCTCTTGATGTAAGTACTGAGTTTACATCTGGCTGTGAATCGATAGTTCCCTTGATTTGGAGGTGAACATGTATTATTGTCTTTTGGGAGTAGCAGGCCAAATCTGCAGCTCTGAGGTACTGTGTTCTCCTCCAGGTCAGCATAAACTCTCTGTTTAGCAACCACTGGTTCATCACTTATTAACCAGTACATCTCAGATGAAGATTTTCAATCTTTTGTTCCAGGTTGCTCAGCCAAATTCTTGTGTTTGGCCCAGCTCCTTCATGTAAGTGCATTGTGTTCCATTCAGAATGCCAGCTTCTAGGACTGCTTTTGCAAAGGAAACACTTTAAGGTTATTTCTAACTGTTCTAAGGTCTACAGCAGCATTCAGGTTAGTTAGGTTATTGTTGGTATTGACTGTTGGCATCCAGGGCTATGAAGCATACTTTAAACGTTTAAATGCAGTACTACATACAGTGCATTTAGTAGACAGGGAGAGGGAATAAACTTGTTAGGCTCTTATTAGGGATAGACAAAATGCAAGAATGTAGGGTTAAAATGTACTGGGCAACTGCTAGAGAAATTTCTTTCACCATACGTACCCACTGTATGTATATACGAACCTAAATAAGTCTTATTAACGGGTAGTCAGTCACTTAATTATTTCACTTTTAATCAATACCAGCAAGTGTGTTTATTATTCACACATCCAGGTCTCCCTGTTATCACGCCAAACTCTTGTGAAATATTGATAAACTAGCAAAATGTATCTGATTTCTGAAGATTCCCCATTTCTCAGCGATGATAGTAGGTGACTCCTTCCTTCCTGGGTACCACATAACCAAATGTGCTAAATGTCTTTTAGAGAAAAAGTTTCTCCTTCTGTTTAATCTCAACCTCCTCTGGTACAACCTGTGGCCATTTCCTTGGGTCCTGTTTGTTGCCTGGGAGAAGAGGCCAAACCCCTCCTCATCACAGCCTCCCTTCAGGAAGCTGTACAGTGCAATGAGGTCTCCTGAAAGCTACAATATATAATTACTGCCACCCAAGTAAGATGTAATATATGTTGCTGAAATTTACAGGACAAGTCATTCTGTGCTGTAGTAACCTCCCAGGTACAGTTTTGTGCTGTGGTGACAAGCAGGTATCATGTGTGTAATGAATGCCTGCACAGAACTTGTCTGTGCCTGTACTGCTGGCTCTTCTCTCCCTGATGATGAAGTTGCCTAAAGACAGGAGGGTTGTACATGGTTAACTTATGTACAATTCATAGTCAACCTGTGGGCTTCTCACAGGTGGGGAATGGGACGCATAAGTAGGAGGAAGCATAAGCTCAGCTCTCTTTGTGCAAGCTCTTGTGCTTTGTGCCTTCCAGTTGAGCCCAGTGTTTTGCAAGCTGCAGCCCTTGATTCTAACAGAGACTGGAGCTGAGCTAATGCCACGTTTATGCCATACACAGCTGAGCCTTCTCACCTGCACTCAGAACCTGAAGATAACACAAACTGTTTGTTTTTAGAGGCTCACCTCAATATTTCAATGTGTTATTCTGCAGCGAGGAGAAAAAGGAGGTTTGTGCTCAAGTCCAAGTACAGTTTTCTAAATTTTTTCAGCAGTTGAAAGAACGGCTGGTTATAGCTTGTAAGCCCATTTAAACACGAACTTTAGTAAATGAATAAATGAATAAATAAAATACACTAGGCAATATGCCAAGCAGAGAAGTGTCTTCTAAAAAAAATCTTGCCCATAGGGGTAATAAACTCTCCCAGGAGGTTGAATGTTGGTGCAGAGGGCTGTCACTTGATGCCAACACAATTTGCCAGTGATCTGGTGCTGACATGCCAGTTCTGTATCTCTGACTGATGTGCAAGCACCTTCCCTCTCTGTATGCTCTGTGTGAATGCCACTGGGTGTGTTTACAGCTGGTTCCTCCTAGCCCCATCTCGTACATTGCACAAACCCTCACCTTGGAAACTGGAAGCCTTTCCAAATCTTGGGATGCAGAGGTGCAGCCGAACTGATGCACAGCTGCCAGTGTGTGCAGCCTCGAGATGCTGACAACCTGCTGTCCATGCAATACCTTGTCTTAAGATTTCTTACTCATCTTAATTTTCCTCTGCTGCCGGCCAGCTGCTCTGAGGAAGTTGTGCAAGGGAAATGATCGCCCTCCAGTGGTGTTAAATAGGAGAATAGATCGGTTTTGTTTGTTTGCTGTAACTGGCAGAAATGGTGCATACACAGCTCACGCCATAGATGTGAGTTAGTATTTAAAAGGGGGTTATAAACAGGAGGGGAATCAACTTTTCACAAGGGTAGGCAGTGATAGGATGAGGGGGAATGGTTTTAAGGAGGGAATGTTTGGATGTCAGGGGGTAGTTCTTTACAGAGAGAACAGTAAGGTACTGGAACAGGCTGCTCAGAGAGGCTGTGGATGTTCTGTCCCTGAAGGTGTTCAAGATCAGTTTGGAAGGGCCCTGGGCAACCTGATCTACTGCCAGATCTGGAGGGTGGTGGCCCTACCTGTGGCAGGGGACTGGACCTCAATCATCATCCTTGGGGTCCCTTCCTACCCAAATCATTCTATGATTCTGTGTGCCCACTGACAGTGTGGTGTTTGTGGGTATCCTCACCCCTGCTCTAGGTGCACCATGGAGCTTTCCCTCCCATCTCTTGCCCTAATCCAAATGGCTCTGCTTGTTTTTTCTTTCTGGATGCCTGTACCTTGTGCATGGTCAGGTCAGTGCCCAGAATGCGCAGCTTTTAGAGGCAGGGTAATGAAGCTCACTTGTTGGTGTGCGCTCTTGAGGTGTGCACACTCTTGGCTTTCTGCTGTGCATGCAGTCTGCATGGATTGAAGCCTGTTTCTCCTTTTCCTGAGAGATGCCTTATTTTCTACACCAGGAGTCCTAGAATATAAATGTAGCTCCATGCATGTCCAATGAAATTTTGAAATGCCTGGCTTTCCAAGTGCCCCAAACTGACTGACACCCTCTTCTGGGAATTGTCCAATGTAGTCTTGGGCTAATAGCTACAGCTGTATGGTTGTTTGTTTTTTTTTCAGCTTTTAGCATTTATCTCACTCCCTAAACATTACTGATGATATCTGTGTAGGAATTTTGTGAGTTTTAAGAAGTTCCTTGACAGATTTTTCCTGCAAATCCATTCAGCTATGTTAACTTGTTGTTGTTGTTGTTAAATGCAAATAGGCATTATACCTCCAGAGAATCATGCTCCTGCATGCCATCTTTATGTACATGGATGTGGCTGTCTAACCCCGTTGTTTGTTAGTGTTTTCTTGCATGTTGTCACTTTTCTGGGGGTTCACTTAGTGTTTCATCTGCTCCTAGCACGGAGCAATAGCCTGAAAGTAAAGAACTGGCATGAAGGACTGAATCCTGC